GTCATGCGGGGAGCGGGGGCATAGACGAGGAGGAGAGGAGGAAACGTTTCCAAAGGATCGAAGAAGGCGGGACGATCAAACATTTCGCTCAATTGGGGTGTTCGTTCAAGTGGTGCGCATAAATTCGCTTTTGCAGCATTGATCCAGCCATCCCAACTGACGCCCAATTCAATTGTGCCAAGGAGTTAGGTGAGGATTGGATGAAGGGTTTGGAGGAAGACAAAGTGGTACGTGGAGAAGAGCGCTGGCAAGAAAGGAAGTTGGTGCGCGCATGCAAAGCAGGAAGCGAGCCCGCGCGGCGAGCAAGAATTGAAAAATGACGTTAACCGAAATCCATAACTGTTTCTTGCAAGTTTCTGCACGGTCGCGAATTGACCGCGCAAAACTAATTAGAACAAGGACAGGGGCAATCCTGTGGGATGCATGCATTTGGTCCTCGAAAATTCAGCAATGGATCCCGTTACCCGAAATCAGTCAAGGTCTGTACTTCAGGGTCCACTTTGGGTTTTAGACCGTTCTCGAAGTTGCGAGGTACTGAGCTTGGCTCATCACAAGTCTCTGCACCGAAGCTGGGTAATGATCGCAGTACTCTGGGTTGATTATGGAGGGATTCCCCCTATTTCAATCTTATAATACAGCTAAGGGGAAACTACGCGGGAGTCACAAAAACAAGTTATAATTGCGGTGTGGGCCAAGATACAGTTTGCAATTGCAGTTTGGGCACCCTACCTGGCCAGAAAGCATTGCCCGAACTGCAATTGCAGACTGTATCTTGGCCCATAGTGCAATTATAACTCGTTTTTGTGACTCCCGCGTAGTACCCCTGAAGTTAAAGAGAAGGGAAAAGAAGAACAGGCAGTTTCCCCCCTTGAAAATCAAATACTCCCCGGTATATTCGGGAGCCAAGCGGGTTCGGTGCTACGGGACCGGAATGGCTGATGGCGCCAGCCAAAATGAGGCGGTTCGTTTTCTTTTCGGGCACAGGGCGATTTTAGGCTCGGCAAGGATAGCTAAAGAACGGTACTGGTGGTTACCAGCACCAGTACACCATACATAGGCCCGCGGGTGTCAGCATGGAACCTGCTCCACTTCGACCGGCGCATATTGTTTTTTGCAAGGGGCACATCCCATGCCGCGCAGCCCCTCCGAGTTTGCTCATGACGACAAAAACGTTCTGCAAGGCTGGGGCGTGTACTGGCTATGGTGATATGAGCATCCTCCCAATGTAGAAGGCTCCATCTATTGGTGGGGAACTGCACCTGCTGGAAATCGAGTCCAGCTTCACTGTGTTATACAATGCAAAGTTCGTTTTTTTTTTTTTTTTGTGAAACCCTACCAATGTTAGTGTTGCTGATAAGAGCAGACACCACTAACACCTGGGTAGAGACTCCATCTATTGGTGGGGAGCATCACCTGCTGGAAACCGGGTCCAGCGTCCCTTTTACATAGTCTTTGTTTCTTTATCAAAGTATGTGGAGATAAAGATTGCCTCTTCAGCCAAACCAAGGCCGCCAGATACCATAATTAAATCTAGCAAGAAAATTATCTCCTGGAAATAAAAAAGCCCTATACTGAAGACAAGCAAAGTTGTGTGTTCCATCTATATGTACAATTCAGGAGACATAAAAACAGGCTTGCTCTGAGACGATCCTTTTTATTTCTTTTTTACTTTTTTCTGGGAGACTATCCTCTATATAGGGCTACCGGTAGGGACACCCAAGGAGCCTCTGATTCGTGAGCATAGCCTTTATGGGCCATTTGGCTAACAGGGCCATTTCTCTAACAGCAGTTTGTAACAGACAGTAGGCTGCGCACAGCTCACCAGATCTGGCAACATAACTTTTCCCTGACGTTCCCTACAATATCAAGGCCCTCTGCCCTCGATACTGGTAGGGTGATTGTCCTCAGCGCTGGTCACACTTGGGTAGGATAGTAGACTGCCATCCGTCTAGTATGCCACCTCTAAAACAACCTGGGCTGCCATCCGTCTAGTATGCCACCTCTACAACAACCTGGGCTTGTCACACTGAGGTAGGATAGTAGGGACATGGTCCTGAGTGCTGGTCACACTGAGGTAGGATAGTAGTGACAGGGGGTGCGCTGGGAGTAGGGTAGGTGGCGGGGATGGGTAGGGTAGGTGGCGTATCCTGTCAGGACAACCATTGGCTGCCGCTGCCAGCAATCACAGCCGGGGCTAGGTCCCACTTGCACGAATTAAGAGATACTGACCGTAGATAGCAAAGATCAACGGCCTAAAACTCCTAATTTGCGCAAGTGGGACCTAGCCCCCGGTCTGGTCCTTGGCCTCTACAACACCCTGGGCTATTTGCCTATCAAGGCCCTTTGTCAGAACGTACGTGGATCTGCTCACTCCTCGAGTAGGGATAATACGTCAGACTGATAATACCGCCACCATTAACGGAGCAGGGTCCCACCTAGGGCATCCGGCGTCCCTCAACTACTCTCCTCACGCGCAAAAGACAAAAATTATGGCATTGCATCTTTCCAGCAATAGATGGCCCTTTTTTTCTTTTTTTTTCTTTTTTTTTCTTTCCTGAGAAGATGAAGGGTTTATTACTCAAGCAAACTTGGGGCCGGGGCCGAGGTCCCACTAGCAACGAGGATCGGATCGAATGCCTGAATCTGGATGTGTTTTATGCAGAGATGCAGAAACGCAGTTCAATCTCGATTTCCTGCACCTGTTCACAAACAATCCAGATTCAGGCATCGATCCGATCCTCTTTGCTAGTGGGACCACGCCCCCGGAGACTGGACCAAGACAACAGACTACTCAGGCCATCTCAGTTGCTGCTCCTGGAAAACCGGTCCAGTGGCCCTGAGCTCTTATAGCTCCCCAAAGAAAAAGGCTGCGACCTTCCACCTTCCTGTTACACTCTTGCTGCTAGAGAACCCTTTTTTTTTTTTTTTTTTNTTTTTTTTTTTTCCTTTTTTTTTTTGAAAGTCCATGGTAGCGACCGGGAATAGAACAACTGCCTACTACCGGTAGTAGTCATGTGTACCCGATGAAGCAATGGTAGCTTGCTAGGAAAATGCAGACCCCTCTCCCTCTTTGATTGTTGAGTGGCAGTGGAGCATTTAAGGCAACAAGACAAGAAAAGGACGCTGTATGGTACTGGGACAATAAAGTCCGTTGTCTACAGCAGAAAAAAAAAACTTCTTCCCATCTCTCTCTCTCTCTCTCTCTCTCTCTCTCTCTCTCTCGCGCGCGCGCGCGCGCGCGCTGGACAATAAAGTCCGTTGTCTACAGCGGAAAAAAAAAACAATTTCTTCCCACCTCCCTCTCTCTCTCTCTCTCTCGGGGCAATAAAGTCCGTTGTCTACAGCGGAAAAAAAAACAATTTCTTCCCAGCTCTCTCTCTCTCTCTCTCTCTCTCTCTCTCTCTCTCTCTCTCTCTCTCACACACACACACACACACACAAGTGGACTGTAGAAACAAACAAACAAACAGGAAGGGAGTGGGCTCCCTGTTACCGGGTGTGAATGAATGGATCCCCTGTGTAAAGTGGTAGAAGGTAGAACATGCCAAGCATCCTGCTTGCCATCCATGTGTTGCGGAACTGACCAATCTCCAATTTGGGAAAAGCAGGGGACGGGAGGTGCTTCTCTCCGAGGTGCGGTGTGGTGGTCGGCGGTCCTGCAACTGCATGTAACCTGCGCAGGTCGTCGGATCGCGGCAACGACAAACAATTCGTTTTTGCTTTCCCGGCGAAAGCCCTGTTTTTCCTTTTTAAACTCTGGATTGGTTGCTGAGCAGTTTGACACGTGTACCATTCAGCGACCGGGCACGTGCCAAACCCAAGTAAGGAAAACTTGTGCACTGAGAGGTGCTTATACCACCACCCCGGGTACTAACCGGAGAGCCCTGTTGTCAAAAAAAAAAAAAAAAAAAAAAAAAAAAAGCCAGTTCGAGCAGAACGGAGGGCAACAGAGGAGAGTGGAAGAACGTCTGCGGTAGAAATCCCGCCTGTCGTCCTTGCCCGTGGTCAGGAAACAAACCTCTGTGTCCAGGTCGCGGGAGAGCTCCCGTGCTTTTTATTTGATTTGATAGTTTGATTTGGGTTTATTGCTGGCACTTTTTTTTTGTTGTTAAAGAAGGAAAAAATAAAAATATCCCGACAGTCTGCCTAACAATTCAATTCGGGTGTTGCAATGGATGATGCGGGGGCAGAAATCCAGCGGCTATCGATCGCAACGCGGGGGTCAAGAAGGGAGGGAGAGCTTAAGAACCCGGGCGGCCGAAATAGACCTGCACAGCTACAACCACCTGTCAATGGCCATACCATAGTGATCATGTATTTCTGGACACGGGGGTTTCATACTTGGACAACGAGCTTGTGCCGCCGAGCGTGCCTGACACGTGTCAAATCCGTGAGCAAGGACAGGCCAGCAACCAGTCCCAAAGCCCAGCAGAAAGCCGATGCGGAGGAGGAGGTGGCGGAAAGAGGAAGATCGTCGGCACACCCGAAGGACAGGCGAGAAGGAGGAGAAGGGAGGGAGAGAATTGGGACGAGGGGGAACTGTTAGAGCAAGCAGAGTAAGAAGAAGAGGAAGAGAGGAAAAGGACCCGGAAGACAAGAAAGAGATCACGGCGGGGAGGGGAGGAGACTGAAGAGGACAGAAGGACAACGAAATCAACGAAGAGGAGAGATCGACGAGGAAAGGAGGAGGAAGAGACCAGCGACGAGGAGAGATCGAAAAGGAAAGGAAGTGGAGAAGGTCATCCAGGAGGAGAGATCGAAGAAGAAAAGGAGGAGAAGCAGATTAGCAACGAGGAGAGAGAGAAAGAGGAAAGGAGGAGGAGGAGAAGCAGATCAGCAACGAGGAGAGAGAGAAAGAGGAAAGGAGGAGTAGGAGATCGGCGACGAGGAGAGCGAGAAAGAGGAAAGGAGGAGGAGGGAGATCGGCGGCGAGCAGAGAGAGAAAGAAGAAAGGAGGAAAGGCCATACGACCGGTAGGGGTTGGATTCGGAAGAGTGCAGTGACAAGCAAGGAGGCCAGACGACCGGTAGGCTGGACTGCAAGCTGGCATACGCGAAGGAGGCCAGACGGTACTGGCACCCCACTGACCCGGGCACGAGATCACGTGCCGCAGTGGCGTATGGCACGATCATCACGGGCCCTGATCCATACAGTGCAATCATGCACCGCGTACCGGCACAAGGCAGAGGCGGACAGATATTTTGGTACCTACACACTTCGGCCATTTTTCCCTTCCCAGACGTTGTGGTCTTTAGCAGTCCGGACATGCTGCTTGCTCCTGTTCGTGATGGATAGATCGACGGCGCCTGATGCGTCCGTACAAGTGGCTGCGGTGAGAACGTCGGGGTCGCAGTTACACTGCGCATGCGTCATCAACACACACACGAGCTGCTCAGAGGCGGAAGCATTCATTCCAACCTTAGTGGAAGAACTCGTCAGAGGAGGGTGTGTGCAAGACTGTAGCCGAAAGGAAGAATGCCAGAAAGCCTACTTCTCCTTCCTCGCTGTCATCGAGGAATGCATCCATAAGCTATCTGCCCGCCCAGACGTCGCCAGCATCAAGTACACCTATGCCTCCACATGCCAGGTACGCCTCTCTCTCTCTCTCTCTCTCTCTCTCTCTCTCTCTCTCTCTCTCTCTCTGTGTGTGTGTGTGTGTGTGTGTGTGTGTGTGTGTGTGTGTGTGTGTGTCTCTGTCCGTGCCGGCGGTGCACGTGCACGCGCGCTGGCGTATCGCTGCAATGGAGGGGGTGGGGGTCGTAAGCTTGCGCTCCCAACAGGGGCACGACGGGGATGAGCTGACGCGGGCCCGACCGTCGGTCCAGCAAGGGCGTGGGCGGGCCTACCGAAAAGATTCCAGGCCGGAGGGGCATGTATGATGAAGGGGCGGTTGCAGGGGCATAAGAGGAATCTTACCTCCTTTTTTTCAAATGCGGGTCCCTTATGCCCTTTTTCCTCCTTTTTTTTCCGTGTGTTTTTTGGGAAACTGGTGAAATACCCCTCAACATTCGCATATATGCTAAAATACCCCTAAAAGATGTTGGGCAGAGCGGATACCCCTGTGAAATTTCAAAGGTCGTGAAATGCCCTTTTGGATTTAGATCTCTGCATTATGCCCCTGTGAGGGGACTGCCAAGTTTGTGCTGTACTCCTGTCAGAGGCAGAACGCAAACTCTGTTACCCTTCCTCCTTGCCGAGAGAGAAGAGAGAGGGGAGGAGAGAGGGAGAGAGGGAGAGAGGGAGAGAGGGAGAGAGAGAGATAAAGAGATAAAGAGAAAGAGAGAGGGAGAGAGGGAGAGGGAGGGGAAGAGAGGGAGAGGTACAGAGGGAGAGAGTGGTGGAGAGGGAAAGTATGAGTTGAGGAAAGGAGCAAGGGTGTGAGTGAGAAGGAGAGAGGGCGGGGAACACAGGGGAAAGCGGGGCACACCTACAATTCAATCCCCATTGCCCCCCATAGAGAGGTAGCCCTTTGCCCCCCCAATTGGCATTAATCAGAGACAGCTGATGTTTGTAGGGGGAGGGACCAGAGGGGGGACCAGAGGGAAGAGAGAGATTGGTCTAGATGGCATGGTTTTCTTACGTTACTAGGTGACCCGTAGCCGGTATCGCCCACTTGTTGTACCACGTATCCCGGTGGGCGCAGCCCCTGAATAATGTCAATGATAGAATTCAGGAAAAATGATAAGAAAATATGAAGTCTCAGCTGATGAATCACAAATGCCCCCTCAAGTAGCGGGCAGCCCAGCCAACCAGGGGTGACCACTTGCGCTCGCAGGTAAGGTAGGCTAAATCAAAGTACTAAATCTTCAGGGTCAGAAAGAATCAGCAATGGTCTTAGCAATCCTAAGCGTGTTTGCTTAGTACTTCTATTCCTCTAACAAAATTTACACCCTTAGCTATCTCTGATGCAACCGGATTTTGTTATTGCTCACATGTATAAATAACAAAGATTAACCTATGTCTACCAAACCCTATATAGTGACGTTCATAAGGCACTGTAGTGCGAATTTCTTGATTATTTGAGATGCACAACCCATCTTTTTAATTGGATGTGATGAACAAAAGTCTTCAGCTACTCTATATGTGAACACTTGTTGAGGTTTGTCTCTTATTCTAAATATAATCTCACTAAGGACTTCATGTTCGACGTATGTGCTTCAAATCTTTTGTTGAAGGTCTTGCCATGAATCAATGTAAGTCACTATTTTTCCTTTAAAAAGTTTGTCTTTCAAGACAAGGCATATGCTATGACATTGTAGCTCAAAGTCAAATTCGGGGATCTCTTATACCCATCTAGTTAGCTTAGTGGACATTCGAGACTGGTAAGGTCTCGCAATCTTAGTACACCTCAAAATGCCTACCAACAAGAAGCTCTAGTTGTTCGTCAAAGGGATAAGAAAAGGTATGTCCTGCAGCCCCATACCATTCCAGATTAGCAGCGTCTCAATAGCCTTATGGGCACCAAGGTCAACAACAAAAGATGAAATGTTAGGTTATGGTTATAGTAGACAGGCTTAGCAAGTATGCATAATCGATTCCGCTATTACCAAAAGCAGAGTTAGACTTAGTTTCTCCCAAGTTCTGTATGTTTTTGGTCAAGGATAATGTGCATCCTCTAACCGTAGTTAGTGATAGAGACATAACGGTTTATGAAAGTATATGGATCACAACTGACCATGTCATCCAAGAGAAATGAACGGTCACACTGAATACATAAACAAATTGATACAATAGACTCTCTGTATGCATATTATACCAGATCATATCGGTCGGGACGAACACTTACCATAGGTAGCCAGTAGGGATCGTAGTGAAGGAGTTCCATGACGTTCACTGAGTAGAAAGTGACGTCCTCCTGGCGTATGAAGTGATTGAACTGGCGGGGGAAAGTGAAGGCGATGTATGGGTGGGACCTCGACAAACGAGGGTCTTGGGGAGGTAGGTCGAGAGGGGTGTCACCCGTGGTACCAATGAAAGGTACACGATGAGTCTAACCACACTTCGCTATGAGAATGGGTGTCTTGGTCGCCCATTTAACCTCTATACCAGGGAACTTGAGAGACAAGGGAGTGTCGAGAATGAGGTCGTACCCAGTCTCCAACTCATCGAAGTGTGCGGAGGAATGGTAGCGGTGAGACACCTGGGTATTATCCCGCAACTGAAGGATAAGGGAAAAGTGGAGGTCCGGGACCGTTTAATCGAAGAAACGTTGCGTCTTGTTATCTCCGAAGGTAACGGAGATAGGAGAGCGAGACTCGGAGGTAGCCAGACGAGCTTCCTCAACAATTCGAGGGTGAACGAGATTGCCCTGCGAGCCGGAGTCTCATAAAGCACGGTGGAACCTTGTAGATGTCATGAGGTGAACGAGAATGATCAGGAGGGTGCGTTTAGGGTCAGAGAGAAGAGCTAAAAGACGACACAAGACATGTATGTGTCTAGTAAGTCGCTCCTACCGAGCTTGAAAAATGAAGGGGAGATGACACAACATCATCGTCAATCGCCAGCTGAGCACTACAACGAGTTGTGCGAATAGGAGGGGAAGGACTAGATGCGGCGGTATGTTGTGGGGCAGATGGTACCTCGACAAACGATGATTAAAGGGAACTGCATCTATCGTGTCCCGAGGAACCTTTGGTGTCGTAGCCAAACGGGCGAACCACGACTCAGCGATCGAAAAGAGGACTACAGATGAGGCCTCAGCGGTACATTGCACAGTGACTTGGTGGATGGCTCGGGCCGGGAGGCACCGGGGGGGAACAACGATCGACGTTGACGAGAGATGTCAGTATAGTATTAATCGAGAGCGGCATGGTATGGGCAGCGCGATGAGGTGTGTCCATCCTGGCGGCAAACGAATGCAACCACAACATGCCTCGATGGCAACACACTCATCATGTGCCAGTCTTCACGAGGACGAGCAAAACCCTGTAAGAGGTCCACCTGAGAGATAGCGAACATGCGAACATCAGTTTGTGCGGACCTACTATAAGCATGATACATAGCAGACATGGCCATCCGCAAACGATCGGTCATCGGGATAGTCTTATCGTCCAAATAGTACTGGATGACGTCCCGAAGCTCGAGGTTGTCAGGGGCGTCCCCAAGGGTAGGGTCAAGCTCTGTCGTAGCCTCGTCGTCGTACTCGAGTGAACTATAGTGTCGAGAAAATGACACTCCTGGCTGAGTTGGGCGGCAAAAGCGACCGGTGAAAGAGGAATGACCCCGAGTGGTACCACGAGACTGAGTGGTGGTGTCGGACCGCGAAGAGAATGGGGCATGGGAAAAACGACTCCACATCCTCTAATACTGATAAGCAGCCTCGCATGTCTGCCCCGCCGAAGAGAATTTCTGCCGCTATAGCTATGTGCGGTAGTCAGCTGAGAGACTAACAAGAAACTGCTTGGTGAGAGTGACCAAGTAAGGCGGACGTCCTGAAATACCTAGATGTGACGCGACAAGTCGGACGTTGCAGAGGGTGACTCCATCTAAGGCATTGATCGCATCGTGGCTAGCGCCAAAGCCCATCTTAAGAAAGGTGTTGAAGTCCACGAAAATGTGAACCGCACCCGTGCGGCGATGGGCATAATAGTTCTTCCACACGACAGAAAGGTTGCCTCGCAATTTTGTTGCGAGTACATCACACCACATCTCCTGAGGAATGGTCATCAACGTTAGTGTGTGTGTGGTGATCTGCAACCACTGCGACACACGTAGTCTGCCATCACAGTTGGATACGTCCGAGAGGCGCACAAAGGGGGGTCCACTATGCTGACAACAAGGAGAAAGAGGTTGGGGTGCCTACATAGCGATAACAGAGGTGCAAGGAGGGACTTAAGAATGACGTGAAGGTTCATGGGGTCCACAGGGTCCTGACCCTGAACTATCGGGTGGGTGGGCGCCTGAGAGATGGGCGATGCCCCTACAATCTCCTCGGATGAATTTGTGGGGAAAGGAGGAAGGGGAGTAGACGTGGTGGAAGGTGGAGAGAGAGGTGGAGAAAAAATGGGTTGTTGTGTGGGGAAACGGACCCACTTTAAGAGAGAGGGGACCACGAGAGCGGAGTGGGTAGTTGTGAGTTCGCTCGCTCCGTGACCAGCAAGTCGCGCGTGAGAGGGTGGCACGAAACCGGTCGAAGGGAGAGGATCTGTTCGGGCTCAGGGTGCTCGACGGGAAGAGTTGGGAAAAAAGGGGGGGTGGGAGAACCTTAAACCCTAGAAAAACTATAAGAAAACCCTAACCGGACTTATGAGAGATTGGGGGGGTAGAAACAACCTAATCAAAAAGAGAGTAACAACCGTGGAGGGGAGGGGGGAACAGGAAAAAAAAAAGAAATAGTGATTTTTTGAGATAAAAATAAAATAAATAATTAAATAACCGAACGCAGGAGAGTGAAAAAATAGATGTATATTTTTTAATTTGGCAGCATTTTCCCACCCCCCATGGGGTCAAGATGTGTCAAGAGAAGAAAAAATACCAAGAAAAACACACTAACTTTCAAAATACCGCAAATCAAAATTTCTAGAGAAATAAACAAATAAATGAGTAGGTGAAGGAAAGCAAAGAAAAGACTAAATGAGTAGGTGAAGG